TCCCTCTTGAAAGCCTATTATTCATCAATACTACCATAATACAATCATAATAACATCATAATAAACCCATGATAAAACCTAAATAAGACCCAAATGATATAAAAAAAAACAATATCAACCACAATAATACCAGAAAGATAATACCATTACGACAACTTACACACAATGATAACACTTACAAATTAACTTAGCAATCAAATAATATAGTAATCAAACCATCCGAGCCCAGCAATACTATCATTTGGAAACCATTAATCGCAGCACACAGAACATAAGAAATAACTCTACCTGAGGAATACTTCCGGACGCAGCTAATGATCCAAGCTGATCACCATCATTCTTAGATTCCATCAACATTTCTTGGTTGAATGAGAAATCCATTTAATGTGGTCTCGGCACGGAATAAGAACTCTGCCCTACTCGTCGAATACTAACAGACGAGCTCTGCCCTACTCGTCGACTACTAACAGACGAGAAAATAAAAAAAATCTACATCCATAAGACACTAATAATCTTTGGCGGGATCGAAAATGTCCAAATGCTAGATTTGGCGGGATTCCATAAGCACAAATATACGTTTTTTTCCGGTTATTGGGCGGAGTTCGGGTCGGGTCTCGCATTCTGCTCATTTCTCTTTGCTGAGGGCCCACCATTACACATGTTAATTTTCCATTGCCGCGTACAGAGAACATGAACCCAATAATTTTTTCAAGCTCAGTGCACCTTGAGCTCGACTAGTTTCCAATCACCAACCGAGCCTTCCTCACTCTCCATCATTACAAAACCCTAAATCCATTCATTGCTGGAAAAATTCTTCTCGATACCATGGCTTCCTCCTCTCTTCGTTTCATGATCCGTTCCTCTCTCCACACTCCAAGGCCACCTAACCCAACGTCGAAAGCTTTGGACAAGGCGGCGACGGCAGTGCGTTCTCCCTTCCCTCCATCCACCCCCAAGGCCGCCTCCCGTTCTTCGGTTCGTCGAGTGGCAAGGTCTGAAATTGCGCTTTCATCTTGGTTCCTCCTGCAATCAACCTTGTTTTGGGGCTAAAAATGGGGTTTTTTAAAGGTCCCCTTTGGAACTGAGTCGCTGCAGCTACTCTCTGTTTCCATTGCATACGGCGGTGGCAGCAGCGCGGTTGACTTCACGGCTGAGCTTCGTTTCTCAGAGCTGTCGAGCTCTTTCTCAGGGTATCATCTCCTGCCGAGCCCATCCAGGACCCTAGCGGTAGTTTTCATCTGCTAGTGTTTCAATTAAAACAATTTATATTTCGATTTTCTTTTATTTAAATTGATGGTAGTAAACCTATTCATAAAAAAGGGTTCAGTTGACTTTTAAAAAGTTAGTAAAAGTGGTTTTTATGACATGAAGTTAAAGATTTGAGTTATATGAATGTTAAAGTTTTTGAGTGCTATGAATGCCTTGATTGCTATTCGGATTTATTGATAAGTTAGTTTTTAGCACATTTATTGAATCATTTAATGCATTGGAGTGAGGTGATTTTCAGCTTGAGTGCTTTGCAAGTAGACTATAATTTGGAATGTAGAGTTTTTTTGGTAATGGTTAAGAAGAAATTGTGCTTCAAATTTAGGCAATTTAAGCTTGCACCTTAACATTTTTTTTTCTTGGAAAAAAAATGCATGAAAGGTATGCTGAAGTTTGTGTGTTAATGTATTATGGAGCATCAACTTGTATTATAAGTAGATTGAAATAATCAAGAAATATACTATTATGATAGGAATATTTAGAGGAACAACTTGAAGTTCATATCTCTATTATTTTATTATTAGAGATGTTACAAATGATATTCAAAGTGAAGTAGTTTCATGGTGTATATTTTATGCAAATGACACATTCTTAGTTGGTGATTTACCTGCTAAAATAAGTCGAATGTTGGAGCTGTATAAATAAATATTAGCTTACCAACACGTGGGAGGGGATTTGGTTGGGGGGGGGGGGGGTTGTTGTTGGTGTTGGTGGGGGTTGAATGTGTATATGATGACACCATTGAACTTTTTTTAAAATTTCTCTATTTAAGCCCAACGAATCATCAAATCACTCAATAAAAATAATATAAAAACAATTATATCAAACAAACACTCAATGTACTTGAGAACTTGCGATAAATTATGCGAACACAAGAGCTAGTAAGCTTTAAGGTGAATGTGTCTTTAAAGAGAATTAGCACAAGCACGAGTCTTTTTAACTTACAAAGAAACAAACAAGTTTCTAAGGTGTATTTGTGAGTGAGAAAACTAATAATCTTGATCTTGAAGATCTGCTCAACCACAATAGCTATGATAATTAAGTCACAAAATACGAAAGCAACACAAACAGTGGAGATCTAATGATATGTGCATAATGTTTGACAATATGAAACCTAAAAGCACTAGTATAGAATATTTTATGTATTAATGTAAGAACATGTGCAAGATTCACATCATAAATATTCATGCATTAAAATAATAAAATAAATGTGCAAAGATACAACCAATCAACCATAGAGCAAATGTGCCACAAATTATTTTTATTTGATTCGAATCCCAACTGACCTACATTCACACATGAGACTTTCCTTTGCTCTGGATCTTGTTAACCACTTCCTATTGTAAACCAACCCCCTTCTCTCCTTGAGCTAGTGGAGAAACACAACATACATGCTCTCCTTAACATGCAAATATCACCTAAAAATCTGTTCTTCACAGGATAGGCAGTCTAACTCTTCAACGTAAAAGAAAATACCAAGGTGGACTATTTCAACACTTTCACGGTGATCGAAGGCTTTCGTTAACAAATAATCATTATATATTCGATAATAAAATGGTTGCTAGATTTATGCAATGAAAGTCTGATCAAATTAGTACAAATATTAAGGGAATGAGTGAGATAACTTTAATATAACAAATATTTTTTTAACGAACAATTAATTTTTTCTCTAAAATTATCTTACAATTTAGCTCACAAAATAGGGTATAGTTATAAGTAAAATGTGATGACTAAAACACTGCCTAATGACTCTATAAATCTCAAATATTTTAAACGAGAAAACTAGCCATTTCGCCAGAGTTATGGATGATCATATATACAATCCACCTTTTTTTGTATGATTAGGTTAAATTCATTTCAATTTTTTCATTTGATGGTATGTACAATTGGCAAATTGATGATTAATATTTGTGAAAACTTGCCAAAATCCGTTGGAAAATCAATTTGGCAACAAAAATCAATTCCCAAAAAGATTTAATAGGTATGTGCAATGATTACAAACTCTATAATCATATAGTACAATTGTATAATTATCTGTGAGATTAACAAATCATATGTATGATCTCAAATTATATGACCAATTAAACAATGAGCATAATTTAATATTTTGCACTGTGTAATTGTATTGAATGACTCAAAATGCGCACTAGTCTAATAAGGGGATGTTTGGTAGCAAGATTTTTGTAGGATTTAATAAGGAATTATTTTATATGCTCAAACTATTTTTAAAGTATCCTTGAATTTTACACTATCTATCATCCCATTTTACCTCTATTATTAGTTAAATCCACTATCTTGTAAATTCTATGTGGATTTGAATTTTACTCCCATTTCGGGATTTAACTTTGTAGCTCTCTCACTTCTTCCTATGTAATGCTATTTTACATCTTGTTCTCTTTTAAAGTGCCCACTCCTTCATACTTCTGCTTCAACACTACCCTTGCCTTCCTGTTCCCACCACTGATTATCTATACACGCTGCCACGCAAAGCTAGTTGTTGTCAACTTCTTTTATGAAGAGTTAAATGGAAACGATTAGGAACAAGAATCTCTACTAGGCAATGTTGATTACATAATCAAGTTATGTTTATAAGTGTCTCATGATATATTTTTTTCATTAAATTTCATAACATTCTAAATCTTAAATTATTAAAAAATAGCCAAATTATTTGTTTGGTTTTAATTAGGTTTAACACATTTAATGCCAAATATTTTACAAAGTTTAATGCCATCAGAGTTTACTAAATTCTGATTTACTATATTTACTAATTATCCACCATTAGCTACAACCCTCACACCACCAATTAAGGGTCTGTTTGGAGCAGCTGTAACTTATTGAATAATCTGCTGATAAGCTGATTAAAAATAATCCGTTGATAAGCTAGGTGCGGTGGCTATTACAAATTTTTATTTTTTTTGAAAAAGCCAGATTGTTGCCAATAATCTCCCACCGCACTTAGATAGGTGCAGTGTGAAAACACACTTTTTTGCGTTCTGAAAACGCATACCTGCCAAAACACAGTTTACTCAAACAGGCCAGGTGTGTTTTCAAAACGTCACCGCACCAAATAAGCTGCCCCAAACAGACCCTAAGTTTCCTTTTGGTTACTTAGTATTAAAATAAAAAAAAAATTACGACTTGAAGCTGTCACGACACTACTTGATAGTTTGAAATTAACCAAAGTAAGATAAGTGGTTGGACGATATTAACTCTAAAACAACTATCCACAAAATTATAAAATCTTCCAATTTATAAAAGAACTACTAAAAATCTTACAGTTTCATATAAGGAAATTCAAATCATCAAAAAATAACAGAAATAATCTGTAAGTAAAATCTCAATCCACAAGACAAAGTATACCTATTCAAAAGAAATAGTACAAAAAGAAACTACAAACACATTATAAACTAGTACGTATTTACAACAGTCATTCTTTAAATCAAATCTCTTCTACCGGACATATCAACCTGAAGCTTTTCTTTTTCTGAAAGAAAATATTAATTACAACATTTTTGACTTAATGAACAATTATAATTTTAATATTCATTAAATTATTATGCTAATGTTTTACATGAATGACCAAAATAAAATGTAGTTAATTTTTTAATAAATGTTTAAACTTTCTTTTAAATTTATCCATTCCCGTTTCATTTTAAGTATTTACTGTTTTTCACCTCTTTGAGTCATAACATGATTACTGTCATTTCCGAAGGTATCCCCAAAAAATGTAGCCGAATGTACCCTAGAAAATGTTCTTGAAGTTACGCTCAAATTACACCCGAAGGTATACCTTCATTATTTCCTTTAACATGCACGGGTATATTGCCTTCTCTACTAGGGTCTTTTGGGGGTAATTTTGTATGACTTAGGGGCTGTTTGGTTTAGAATTTATTGGCGTACTATAAATTAATTATTTGAATTTAAAAAAAAATTAATGTTTGGTGTGCTGTAAAATAAATGTATCGTGACTTTAAAGGGTACTTAATGTTTACCCTAAAGCTAGTTTTACGTGTAAAGTATTTCCTTTCAAACCAAGTGAAAAATAAGTCCCGTGAAATCCCGAGAGAGATCCTTCCCGCACAACCACTTCAAACTTGCGTTAGTGGTTGTATATTCAAAGCTTTTTTATCCCCTCACCCATTAAAGTCGCAAGCAAAATGATTCTCTCCATGTTGATTCGAACAACAACAGCAGGCTTGCTAGGTCTGCCATTGTGACAGCGCGCCACTGGTCCTGGTTTCTCTTTTCTCGCCTCAGCTGGTAATCATTGCCGCCTTCTGTGGGGTGTTCCATTTATGACAGTTAGAGAACGTGCTTCGGCATTAGGCTCTTGTGCAAAGACGGGTTTTCTCTGACGTTGTAACCTCTCGCTCTCTCAATATGGTTATTGAAGCTTCTTCGAGGTATCATTTCCACATTGGTTTATATCTTTAGGGAAATGGATGAGATCTCTTTCGAAGTTTTTGTCAAGTTATTCACTTTATAGATTAAAGTATGAATTTCTACAACGGAACTTTATAGATTAAAGTATGAATTTCTACAGCGGAATCTTTGCCGATTTTTGTTTGCTTGTAGAGGAATAAATACAATTTTTTAACATTTTTTATTTTTTTTAAGAAATGAGCCTGTTTAAATTTAATTTTTTCATACATGCTGTGTAACTATAGATCTTTTTAATTTTTTTAAAATGAAAATGATGTAGTAACTATTATTTTTATGCAAATCATATATAATATTATATAAATAAATTGTTTTTAAATTTAAATTTTTTTGGGAAAATAAATTTAATTTTAAAATATTATATAAAATAAAATGAATACTAAAATATTAAACATATAAGCTTGTAAATATTATATAATATATAGCTAGTTAACATGAAAAATAAAACCTCTACATTCCATTTACACAACCAAGCAACCCATGA